GGTCCAGGCCAGAAGAGCAGCTGGTGACATCATTCTGCTCCACAAAAAAGGGACTGTTCAGCCTCCAGGAAAATGGAGTGAGGCCTGCCTTCCCCAAGGACTGAGGTAGGGAAGGGGGCACTTGCCCTGTTATTTTGATGGGTATGTAGCTCTTAACATGATTTTTTGAGATCACCCACATCTTGTGGGCTTTTCTTTTTGAGGTTTAGGGATTGGGGCTCCCCTAAAGGGGTAGGCCTTTTGTGACATGAATCAGCATTTGTGACAGGAACAAAAACCCTTAACTCAAAATATTCACAGATCCAGCTCTACTCCCTGGTCTCCATCCTTCCTCCTCTTATCCTAGCCAATCGTTTCATCTATTGAGTTTACTCTGCTTTTTCCCAGAAGGTGGATGGACTGGACTTGGAATCTCTACCGGAGGAAGAAAAGTTAAAGGAAAGTTCTTATCCCTGTCTGGCCTCAGGGTCAAGCACCTACAGACAAACAGAGCCTCCCAAACTGAGAGTTTCTTAGTGTGACCCCAAGCATTATTATGCTAAATGAGTCTCTGTTTCTTTATTCTTCCATGAGTTAAGTTGCTGTGGTGTGGTGGTTAAATACTCAGCTGCCAACCTTTAGCTGCTAACCGAAAGGTTGGCTGTTTAAACCCACTAGCCGCTCCACGGGAGAAAGATATGGCAGTCTGTTCCTGTAAAGATGTACAGCCTTGGAAACTCTATGGAGGAAGTTCTTTCTACTCTAGCCTATGGGGTCATTATGAATTGGAATGAACTCGACAGCAATGGGTTTGGTTTAGTTTTTCTCCTTGATTTGTCAAGTGCCTTGTTGCTTGATTCTCAGAAAAGAGGTAGGAAAGGAGGGAAGCAAAATCAAAACCATCCTGTCACACATTAGTAAGTATTTTCTAAGCAAATACTATGTGCCAAGTACTGCACTGCGTACACAGTCATGGTAACCCAGTACACACCCTGCCCTTTGGGAGCTTACAGCCTACCTGGAGAGCCTGTCATCCAGCAAGTAAATCAATTGAGTAAATAAAATCTTAAATGAATATCAAATTGTAATAAGGCCAAAAAGGAAGTAGGGTAGTTTGATGGAGAATAATGGTGTAGGGCCTTTCTAAATCAGGTAGATAGAGAAGGCATATCTGAGGAGGTGATATTTGAGTTCAGACCTGAAGGACAAGAAGGAGTTAGCCATATACAAATGGCACTAGTTTGGGTGCACATCAGGAGTTTAAGTTTGGGAAGGGGTGGGGTGTAATGACAGAGAAACAGCACATGGAAAGGCACAGCAGTGGGATGGGGGAGACCTGAGTATGATTCAAAACTAGGGTAGGTCTCTGTGACCAGAGAAAGTCAAAGAAACATAAGTACCAGATACTATCACACAGGGCCTTATAATCCATGATAAGAGTCTGGATTTTATGTTACATACAATGGAAAGATTGGAGGGTTTTAAGTAGGAGAGTGACAATCACATTAGTGATATATGGAAAAATCATTTTAGTTGGGCAGGAGCTGAGGTGAGAGTTGGGACAAAAACTCTTGGCAACTACGAATGGGATGATGGCAGGAGAGAGGAACAAAAATGGGTGAAATCAACATGTATATGGAAGTAGAAACCACAGGACTTGTTGCTAAAAAGGCAGTGAGCAGGGCTGTTGAGGGCAAAAATGGCTCAAAGATGACTCCTGGGTTTCTGAATTGCCTCATTGAGTGGATGATGGAGTGATTAACTGTGATGGGGAAGACTGGGACTTTCTTTATTCATGGGACATTCCCCAAAACCAAACCAATTGCCATCGAGTGGATTCTGACTGATGGCGACGCCACGTATGTCAGAGTAGACCTGTACTCCATAGAGTTTTCGAAAGCATATCACCAAGCCATACTTCCGAGGTGTCTCTGGTGGGTTTGAACAAACAACCTTTCAGTTTATAGTCAAGCACTTAACTCTTCGTATCGTTGAAGGACTCCTCATAGGACATTAGTGGAGAAGAGTCTAGAATTCAATTTTCACCATAACAGGTTTGAAATGTCTCTGAGACATATTATTGGAGATGTCAAGTGGGCAACTGGAAATTTAAGTCTGAATGGAGGACATCCAAGTTGAGGAGATGAATTTGAGAGTCACAGTGAGAGAATCTGCCATGAGCATGAATAAGATTATCTAGAGGAAGAGTAGTCAGGACAGAGTCCTTAGGAATACCAGCTAATAGGAGAAAGAAGTGAATCTTCAGATATTTAATTAGAACAAAAAGCATGGGCTTTAGGACCTGATTCAAAGAAAAACAAAAGTGTGTCAGAAACTTTATTGCAAAGGAGAAGAAAAGCTTAGCAACAATACGGATTTATTCTGAAGAGAAAAGTCACTTTGCCCTTATAATTCTAGTCTGGACACAGCATGCATCAAAGATTCGAGAGAAATCGTTAGGTTTCCACCACTATTTCATAACTTGAACTCTCTTCTCAGAGCAAAGGATTTGGGAAGATGGCAAAAAGCAATTTGGATCAATCATAAGATCAATTGCAAAACACTGATCCTTTTTCCTATTCAAATCAAAGCACATTTTCACAGTCCAGGTCAAAAGAGAAGTCTTTTGAGGTCGATCAAAACTAGATTTTAATTCCTACTTAGTCCTTTGGGATCTAAGTGACTTTGGACAAGTCCACTTAACTTTCCTGACGCTCAGTTTCAATCACCTACAAAATAGAATACTTATCCCATAGGCTTTCTGTGAAGATTGAAAAAACCTAGCACTCTGTAAGTTGAACATACTCTTATAATTAATGGTAAAGATATTACAGATATTATTATCATTAAGCACTAGAAGGAGCCCTGGTGGTGTAGTGGCTAAATGCTTGGCTGCTAACCAAAACGTCTGTGGTTTGAACCCACCAGCTGTTCTAGGGAGAAAGATGTGGCAGTCTGCTCCTGTAAAGGTTAAACAATCCTGGAAACTCTATGGGGAAGTTCTACTTAGACCTAGAGAGTTGCTGTGAGTCAGAATTGACTAGATAGCATGCAACAACAACATTAAGCACTGAACATTGTGCTAAGTGCTTTATCACCATTATCTCGTCTATTCTTTCCAACAGTCCTGTAAATTAACCATCCCTAGCCCCACTGTGCCCTGGTGGGGCAGTGGTTAAGAGCTTGGCTGCTAACCAAGAGGTCGGCAGTTTGAATCCACCAGCCGCTCCTTGGAAGCTCTATGGGGCAGTTCTGCTCTGTCCTATAGGGTCACTATGAGTCGGAATTGACTGGACAGCAACAGGTTTGTTTATAACAAACCAAACCCACTGCCATTCAGTCATATTCAACTCATAGAGACCCTATAGGACAGAGTAGAACTGCCTTACAGGGTTCCCAAATCTTTATGGAACCCCATTGTGAAGGCAGGAAAAGACTCAGAGAGGTTCAATGACTTTACCAAGATCACACAGTTAATAAATGAATGGATGAAGGTAGGGTGTGAACCCAGATCAGTCTGTTTCTACAACACTCTCAAATGCCTACTCATAGACTGCACATAACAGTACAAGGAGTCTCCATTTTATAAAGCATCTTTCTTTTTTATTTTGCACTTGCATTGCTAAATGATGTCAGGCTTTTCTATATCATTGGCCTTACTTTAGTGTTAATACCTTGATAGGTTGCAAAGTGGCTTTGGTTGGGAGGAAGTGAACATGGGTAGACTGTGGTTTTCCTCACTAAGATTTAAAAGGGAGCAATCACTGCTTGATTCTTATCGTATTGTCTAAAAAGAAAAAGAAAAAAAATTCTGGTCCTTCAGATCTTCCTAAATCTGCAATTCCTGTCCCTTATCCGCACCAGCTTGGTCATCTAATTAAGGATGTGGAGTCAGTAGAGTCCTTTCCCCTCGGTCCAACTCACTCCATCTTGGTTACAACTATATGGAAGTCCATTGATTTTGATGCAGAAGTCTAGAAGGTCCCTAGAACTTTCCACAAAGCCCTTTTTATTTTATTTTTATTATACTTTAGATGAAGGTTTACAGAACAAACTAGCTTCTCATTCAACAGTTAGTACACGTATTGTTTTACGACATTGGTTAACAACTCCATGACATGCCAACACTCTCCCTTCTCGACTTTGGGTTCCCTATTACCAGCTTTCCTGTCCCCTCCTGCCTTCTAGTCCTTGCCCCTGGGCATAAAGCCCATTTTTAAGGTAAGAGCAATTATACTAAGCCTTTCATTATTTCTGTGTTATTTATATAATTCGCTTGAAAGTGTTATTTAATGTGTTTTGGGTAGTTTCACAGAAAAAGGTGGTGGATGACAGAGGATCTGAAAGATAACTATAGTTGACATTTTATGTTAATTTTTATGGCAATAATTCATCTTATAAGTTGTTTTTTTTTTCACCCTATGGTACGTTTTCCCAAGAATGTAATTCTTCATAAGTCTACAAAACCCTAATAGAGGGAGGCCTTATATTTTAGCATGGACTGTCCACTTCAGCCATCACTGTTAATTCCACTGGGCAAACCACTCCCAGCCTCCACATATACCGTGTAGACACATGTGTATGTGTAGACACACAGGTTGCGATATAATGGTATTGTGGCATCAAACACAAGCAGTAACTCTCCTGTTTGTTTTTTGTCATGCTTTTGCCCTGAAAACAGAATCAAATCCATTTCCAAGAACATTAAATGAGCTTCAGAGCCCTAAATCAAAGGCTTAAACATTGGGTCTTCACAGAGACACCAAACTTCTCATACTTTAAATTAAAAAGAAAAAAAAAAGGAAAGCAGGAAAAACCCTTAGGCAGCTGTGATATGCTCTGGAAAATACACAATTAGAAAATGCAGCAGAAATAAAGAAAATTAAAAAATCTAACAGAAGCACGAAAACAAGGGGCCACCTTATGCTGTGGCCAGCAGAGGCATTCAAACATATCGTCAGCAGGGATTGCAGCCAACCGTCACAGCTCACTCTTATAAAGCCAGCCCTAGGCTTTCCAGAGCAAGATGTAGCTGTGCCAGCTACTTGCTCCAGAGCTGCTAAGAGGGGCTGGCAGAGTGGCCTGTCAGGCCTGCCCAAGAGCCATGGCAAAGAATGGACTTGTAGTTTGCATCCTGGTTATCACCTTGCTCCTGGATCAGACCACCACCCATACATCCAAATTAAAAGCCAGGAAGCACAGCAAACGCCGAGTGAAAGGTAACAGAGCTGCTCAGTCAAGCAAAGTTCTAGGCTTGCTCAGTGTAGAAAGGTTCTAAACAATGTTAATTTCTAAATTCCTCCAGGAGATGGTCCCTGGTGACAGTACCAGGCCATCGTGTGAATATGGCATTTCAGGGTCTAGAGTGCCCTTTTAATTCCCTGGAACAATTTGATATGTCTAGGAATTACATGGTAGGGCTTTTTTACAGAAAAAAAAAGCCAAAAAAACTTTTTTAATGCAAAAAACTTCTCTATTGCATATTCTTTGCCAGGTGAGCTTAGAATGTTCTTCAGAGGGAGTTTACCTGGATATGTGGACATCTGGTATGAACGATAAGTCCAACAGAATGTATTGATTAATAGGGTATACTGTTTCTCATGTAGATGTTGTGTAAGTGTATACAAATATAACATATTTATAACTATAATCTTATTAAATATGTAGTAGAAGATAGTACTATTGGTAATTGTGACTTCCTTTTTGTCACTGGTATGTTTCTATGTCTCGGCAGCATAAGGATAAACCAAAATGGAACCAAACCCATTGCCATCAAGTTGATTCTGACTCATAGCAACCCTACAGAACAGAGTAGAACTGCCCCATAGGGCTTCCAAGGAGCGACTGGTGGATTCAAACTGCCAACCTTTTGGTTAGCAGCCGTAGCTCTTAACCACTGTGCCCAGGGCATAAGGATAGTCTATACTACATATTTAAACTTTTTCATGTTATAGACAGAGAAATTGAACTTCTCTTTAACTTAAAAATACTTCAATTCAAAAAGTCATATATAGTGTTTGGAAGATATTTTAATGCAAAACTAAATCTTCGAGCAATCTCAAATTTGGGGTGGCTTGAATTGGGTAAAAAGGTAAAAAAGTTTCAAAGAATGAGGATAATGGTAATTTATTTGCAATATGCTGAAACCAAAGCGAAACAAAAAAGCATCAAGGCCTAGGGTGATGTCCTTTCTCATGCTCAGTCTATTTTCATATTTTCATGATGTTTGCAGCTAAATATTATGGAGCCATTCCCTTATTAATTTCACTTCATTAGTAACAAAACACACCAAAAAAATATTGAAAGGTCAAAATCTTGATTTGACACCGAACATAGGCAGCCCATCAGTAGAGCAGGGGGCTTGCCTTGTTGTGTTTGATTTGATGATTAAGAACTTCCCTTTTCCAGGGGCATTCATTTATAAAATTTACGTCTGACGCAAGGTTTCTTAAGTGGGATTTTTTTTCTTATAAAATATTGTACTTTCTGATTTCCTCTTTTAATGAAAGATTAAAATATTTCATATAATTGATGAAGTATATTGCTGAAGTCAAGGGCAGGGATAGAGGGAGAGAGAAGAAAGGCAAATGGATGATGTGGCAGATTTTTGTTGCCAGAGTTTTTTCACTGCTGGGAAGGAGTGGCAAAATGGTGACCACCCAGTAGGGATGTGGTTGAGAAGGGGTATGAGTATGTGTGTGAGTGTGTGTGTGTGTGTGTGCACGCGCGTGTGTGTGTACATAAGCTGTGTGTGTTTTTTTGAAGTGATAGCAGTTTGGGTAGAGTCCAGGTTTCTCTCTCTCTCTCATTTTCTCTCTTCATATGCACATGCACATAACACATGTTTTTTTAAGAAAAAAATTAATTAGATAATATCCAGTTAATACCCATCTTAATATCAACCCACCTAAAGCAGTTTTGCTAACTTTAGCCATTAGGTAAAAGAAAGTAGATTCCACAGTAAGTGAAGCAATTAGCTGTTAGATTTGTCAAACAGCTCTTCTCCCCCTGCACCCCCTGCCTGCCATGTGCCCATACACACACACACAGGCACACACACTTTTAAAATATTTTAAATACCTGAAAATAATACCAAAGTGTATGAAATAAACAATGAAAGCCCTGTTCTCCCTCCCAATCTTCTCTGAAGAATTACCCACAATTAACTGTTGGGTGGTAATATTCCCAGAGTTTTTTAAATGTACAGTTTAGATATTTTTAACAGCTGAGAATTTGATAGACAAATGGGTTTGTTTCATCTATTACATCTTGTACAGCAATCAGTGTAAGGCAGACCTCATTCATTTTAACAGCTATATAGTACTCCATTGTATGGATTGGTCATGACTTACATAATTTGTTCTCTCTTGGCAAGCTTTTATTCATGAAGCCATCTCTCTTAGAAACAATGCCCCAAGGAACTGCTTTGTACACATATATTAATTCCCATGCTAGAATGCTATGATACATTTCCAGAAATAAAATTGCAAGTTAATCACACTAATTGCCTGCCAAGATGAAAGCACCAGTCTATGCTCCTGTCTTCAGCATATGAGCGTGCCCATTCCCCACCCTTGCTAACCCAACGTCGAATCAACAATTTAAGCCTTGTCAGCCTGAAACAAAAGCAAAAACTTTTTAAATTTGCATTTCTTTTATTGTTAATGAGGTTGAGCATTTTTTCATGTTTATTGGTCATTTCTTCTGGGAATTATTTCTGCATTTCTAAACTGTACCTACTTTTGGAGAACAATAATAAAAAAGGCAGGAAGTCTTTTTTTTGGACTAAAATGGCAATTGAGAAACACAAGATTTCCCTGCTACTTACTTAATAGGTCTCAGCAAATTATTGTTGCATTAATGAATAAAATATAAATTTACAGTAGAACAGTTGTTCATTGTATTCCCTTTGTTCATTGTAGACAGACACACCACATTAGCCACGAAGGATAGCAGCAGAGGCCCAAGTCACTTGGAGAATGACTTCCATAATGATCTCCCAGGATGCTTATATTAATTCATGTGTCTTCACATTAATTACAATGTCTATAACTTTCCAGTGGAGACCACTCACTTAAGTAGGATGGAACAGGAAGCTGAGAGGGATGGGAGATGACATTTATTGAGGTTTTAACTTGTGACTTGGAAGCAAGTCTGGTCTCCAGTAGCTGTGGTTTTGCATTCTGAGTGCATTCTTACATTTATTTTGGATTGAAGGGTTCCATCAAGGAAATCCTTGGGTTACTGTATTTCTGAGCCCAGCTATTGGATGCTTTAGGAATTAATGTGCAACATTAAGTGAAACAGAGGTGGGAGCCACCCCTGGATACCAAGGATGGCATTTTCCTAACCCAGAGGTAGAAAGATCTGGTTTGAGAAACATATGTTTAAGGGGATAGTAAATTAGCATATTTAGAATGGGGACTGTCCTGAAAATCCAAGACAGATACAGAATCTGTATATGGCATCCCCACAAAGCAGCAGCTGTGGTCAGTTCATATCAAGCTTTAAGTATGTTCTGTGTCTGAGGCTATGTGCTAGGGACCAAGGAAGCAAAGGCAATCACTGTGGAGAAGTAGCTCAGAGGGATGGGAAGAGAATGGGCTTATAGTCAGCGAGGTTCAAATCCTGATACTGCACCTTTCTAGCTGGGTGAACTTTGGCAGGTAAATTCATCTTTCTGTGCCTCTATTTTTTCTTCTGTGAAATGGGGATAATGATAGCGTTTACCTTATAAGATTATTTAGAGAATTGAGCTCCTGGCACACAATGTATGGTGGTTTTTAATATTTTTTAATTTTTATGATTTATTATAATTCTTATCTTTGAGTAGCACAGAAGCTGTCAGTCTCTAAGAGAGATCCCATCAGGTCTGGATTTTGATTTTTTTTATCTTTCCGTTAGGCATCCTTCTCATATGTTTGTCAAGAACAGCTGTGAAGAATCTGTAGACTCATCCAGTGACATTCAAGACTAAATAAGTTGCTAATCTCTAATATAGATATATTTGTACGTGGCCCTTTAAAATCACTGTCTTTCCCTATTATCTCCATGGAGATGGCTTAACCCTGCTAGGAGCCGCCATATCTGATAATCAGCTGTGAAAGGGGCTTGGGGACAGGGGAACTGGAGACCCACATTAGTCTGAGCCTGAGTTCTGCCACTTGTCTGCCAAGTCATTTAGCTCATTGTACTCATCCTCATTCTTCAATGGGGATCTAATTTTCCTCCCTTCATAGCTATTTTTGAAGTTCAAATGAAAATAACAGAAGTATTTTGCAGACCATAAAGTGTTTTTACACTTTATGAGTACCTATTACGTGCCAAGCATTGTGTTAAGCATCAGGGGTACCACAAATAACAAGACAAAGAAAATAAATTAAAGTAGAATAATTACAGATTAGAGAGAGTGCCCTGATGAAAAATAAACAAGATTTAAAGAAAGAGATTAACGGGAAAGATGCTAATTTAAAGAGGATGATCAGAAAATCTTCTCAGGAGAAATACTTATGCTGTGTCTTGAGAAGGAGAAGGTCATGGCAAGAGCTGGTGCAAGAGTATCCAAGGGAGAATTTAAGAGAAAGGGTCCTGGGGTAAGACAGCTTGCTCTAGGATGCATCTGAAAGTCAGTGAGTCTAGAGCCTAATGACAGAGGGAGAGTCCCACAGGATGGGAGTAGAGACAGACACAGGAACCCCATCTTGCAGAAGAATCTTCTAGTATTATTACCCCCACCAAGGTCTTATGAATCTTCTTGCCCAAGTTATTGTCCTGATTTATTTTCATATAAATGAACTTGGTTTCATCAAAATCACCCTCACCTTGGATTCTGGATTCTAAGCCTTCATTTAGTTTAAATCATATATTTTTCATTCCTCCTACCCCCACACCACTCTAAAATTTCCCCAGAGAAGGATGGTGACCTGAAGACTGAAGTTGAAAAGCTCTGGAGAGAAGTCAATGCCCTGAAGGAAATACAGGCCCTGCAGACAGGTGAGACTCCACCTCACTGATGCCTTGTCCCAACAGAGTCGGAAGAGAAATTGAGAGTGCCAGTGGTACAAAACACATGTCACGTTCCAGGAGTTATCTTTTAAAGGACACATTGACAAGCCAGAGATGTGTCCAGGAAGGTTACATAAGACAGTCACAGGACCCAAAAGTTGGGGAGACAAGCGTTTTGGGAAATCAGCTTGATTTGCCACCCAGTTCTCCTAATTTCAGGCTAGCCTGTGTAGGGGTAGTATAGAAATAAAAATAGGCATTTCAGGAATACATTTTAAAAGTCAGTCAGTAATTCTTTTCTAAAGGGTAATGAGACAGAATTGAAGCAATTGTTAACTGGCTAAAATAATTTGCATTTATTGGGTGTTTACTAAGTGCCTACACGGGAGATCGGCTGAGGTTCAATAAACACAGGTTCACAGACTCACTCGGGCCACGCTCAGCATCAGAGCACTTAAAAGGACATTGGTTAGAACCACAGCTTGCCAGCAGGGCAGCAGGTGCTCCTTTTCCCTGGGAGTAGAGCTCCCAGAAGGAGCCCTGATTACGCAGTGGTTAAGCACTCAGCTGCTAACCAAAAGGTCAGTAGTTCAAACCCACAGTCTGCTTCTGTAAAGATTCCAAAAAAAACCAAACCAAACCTGTTGCCATCGAGTCAATTCCAACTCACAGCAACCCTAGAGGACAGAGTAGAACTGCCTCATAAGGTTTCCAAGGAGTGGATGGTGGATTTGAACTGTTGACCTTTTGGTTAGCAGCCAAACACTTAACCACTACACCTAGGAAACCCTATGGGGCAGTTCTACTCTGTCCTATTGGGTTACTAAGATTCACAATCAACTTGATGGCAATGGGTTTGGTTTTTTTTTTGTTTTGTTTTGTTTTGTTTTTTGTTTTAGAGCTCCCAGGGGCCTATGTAGCTATGTATGCTACTGTCCAGGTGCTCAGCTCCTTGGCCCCCCAGGAGTGAGGAAATCAGACTCACACTGGGTAGGTTCAGGAACCCCCTGGCTTGCAAGTCTTATACCCTACAGGAGCCAATACCTGTCATATAAAAATTCCAAAACAAAGCTTCCAGGGTTCCTGCAAGAGACCTGCCCAATTACAAGAGTTGCGCCTTCAGGGAAGCCTGAAGTTATGCTTTCTATCAAGTATTTATAACTCCCAGGCTAGATGCATGCAACCAGTCAGGGGTCACTTTTACCATAAGCAATGTTGCCTAGTAACACAGGTGATAAACTCCCTTTATCAAGTTTCCATCAAGGGGAACAGAGTTAAAGAATAAATGGAAGATCAAATGCTCTTGAAGAAGGGGAACGGGTTTTGTTAACCCTTTACCCACAACTGGGCACTATAAATACTTTACAAATATTAGCACATTAATCCTAGAAACAAATTTTGAGATAGGCGCTAGTATGATTATCCTTGGGAAACTGAGGCAAAGAAAAGTAATTTGTCCAAGGTTTACTCAGTTAGTAAATGGCAGAGGTGAGGCTCAAATCCAGGCAATATGACTTTGGAGCCTGACTTTCCAATAAAAAAAAACAACTCTGACTCATGGTGGCCCCATGTGTGTCAGAGTAGAACTGTGCTCCATACGGTTTTCAATGGCTGATTTTTCGGGAGTAAATCACTAGACCTTTATTCCGAGATGCCTCTGGGTGGACTTGAACTGCCAGCCTTTTAGTTAGCAGCCGAGCATGTTAACTGTTTGCACCACTCAGGGACTCCTATTCCCCAATACTATGGCCTAAAACTGTCCTTATGTTTGGTTTATCCTGGATAATCTAAACGATATTACCAGAGCTTTAATTATCTGGGTAAGAAAATCCCTGTCTCTCCATATGCAAACTCAGACTTTCATTTATTTTTATTTTTTAAATAATTATAAAACTCTGTCCAGTTCCAAAAGTCACAAGGAAATTCACTACACAAACTTGTGTATATCAAAGTAGCATGGGCTTAAGGCCATGTTTTGAAGGTCAGGTGGACCTGGGTTCTTGTAGTTGTGATCTTAGTGCTACGTAAGTTATAGTCATACATACTGAGTTGTTACAACTAACAAATTCCCTAACTTCAGTATCCTGATATATAAAAACAGAGGCAATAAAATACCACTTCACTGAGTTATGATTATTACATGAACTTATTTATGTAAAATGCCTGGCACAGTGTCTGGCACATATAAAATCTTCAGTTAATGTTAACTCAACATTGCCATCACACATCATTCATTCCACAGACATTCATTGATATTTACCAGAATGAGTCCTCAGCCTATTATACTCAAAAAGTATTTTAATATGTCAAATTTCACTTTTTCACAGTCTGTCTCCGAGGCACAAAAGTTCACAAGAAATGCTACCTTGCTTCGGAAAGCTTGAAGAATTTCCACGAAGCCAATGAAGACTGCATCTCCAAGGGAGGGACCCTGGTTATGCCCAGAAACTCGGACGAAATCAATGCCCTCCGAGACTATGGTAAGAAGAGCCTGCCCGGTGTCAATGACTTCTGGTTAGGCATCAACGACATGGTTACCGAAGGCAAGTTTCTCGATGTCAATGGAGTTGCCATCTCCTTCCTGAACTGGGACCGTGCTCAGCCTAGTGGTGGCACACGGGAAAACTGTGTCCTGTTCTCCCAGTCAGCTCAGGGCAAGTGGAGTGATGAGGTCTGCCGTAGCAGCAAGAGATACATATGCGAGTTTATCATCCCTCAGTAGGCCCTTCTCAAATGTGTCTTCCAAGCAAGATTGGTCATGATTTGTAGGCTGATTGTCCCCAAGATGAAGTCAAAATTGTAACATGGGAGTCTGAGTCCATAGGAGTATAACAAAGTCTGCTTCCTTTTGTTGTGATTTTGCCATCCGTGGAATACAGGGGAGCAGAAAATAACTATCTGACCATGTGTACATTGTTAAAATGGCTTCTGCAGAATGGGCTATCAAACTCCTTTCTCTCTTTCCTAGTGCCTCTCACTTGTATAGACCCAGCCTGTTTTAAAAATGTAATAGTCATGCATCTCTTCAATCCAGAAAAGCAAGCTTAGGCTACCCAGAAATGTTTCTCTTGAAAGTTTAGTATATATTTTATTTGACTGATGAGAATTTCTTAAATTGGAGATTTCTTGGTGCTATTTAATCCAATAACTTTTCAGTTGGATGCCCAAACTGTTCAATGCTGGCAATAATATCTTGGTAGCTCATTACCCTTTCTTCATATTTGCACTGCCCATTACCCTTTGATTTGATGAAGCTCCTGGTAAGGCTTATAACTTGCCTGCCACATCAGAACATGAATGTCTCAGAGAAAGTCCTGATTTAACTGTTTCCTTCAAGCTTCTCCTTCCCTTTTTTTTTTAATTCCCTCCCTCCCCCTCACCCCCGATTCAGAAATACAAAAAGAACTGATAAGGCAGCATTTCCACTTCCTGCATTACATTATAATTTCCAATTTGAACGGGTAACCCAGGGCAAAACAAGAGCAGCAGATTGTATGGGAAAAGAAAATAGAAAAATGTCTACTTTGCTCTTTCTTTAAGTGCCCTTACTCTCCCTTTATGAAAGTGAGGAAGGACATTATATGTATTAGTTTTCTTTTTTACGTACTTTATATACTTAAATATATTTTTCAGCTATTACTAGATATTTAAGTCTATTAGGGGCAACCTATCTTTGGAGGTTAAAAATTGAATTTAAATAATATTATTTTGGAGTCACATGTTTATGCAATTCCTTATTCTGTCAAATGCTATTTCAACTAAATTATTTAACTAGATTGTATAAAATAACTTAATTGCTTTAATGTGAAATTATAAAGTTTATGCTTGGGGAAATGGAATTTTTTCTACACAGAAGCAAAGCAATTCTAAATATACTTTGCTCTTCAAATAAATGAATTTTTTTTCTTTAAATGTCAAATGTGTTTTGTGAAATATCCTGCTCTGCAAACTTTAACTAGATGTGCTTAGAATTAAGTTTAGTTCTTTTCATTGCACAAAATAAAGTCTAAATTCTGATCAATGTGGATGAATTTGGATTTGATTACAGTTATTCAAACTATGTTGGCTTATATCAACTGGCACAATTTGATACAAAAAATATCCTGGATTTGGTCAAACTGGTGATTCGAGCGTGCTAGGAGAAGAGTTGTACCTGAGAATAAACAGGTAAGGTAGGAGAGAGGGGCAGGGAGGGGCCTTTTCTTTTTTTTTTTTTTTTGGTGAAAATACACATAGCCAAAGATACACCGTTTCAAAAATTCCTACATACACAGTTCAGTGACATTGACTACGCTCTTCCAATTGTGCTGTTATTCTCACATAAGATGAAGGCTTACAGAACAAAATAGTTTCTCATTTAACAGTTACTACAAATGTTGCCCTATGACAATGGTTAACAATCTCACAACACATCAACAATATCCTTACTCAACCTTGTGTTCCCTATCACCAGCTTCCTTGTCCCCTTCTGCCTTCTGGGGCTTGTCACTGGACTCCTGTACCTTGTTAGTCTCATTTGGTTTTACGGGGCTGTCCACTCCCAGGCTGAACGGTGAACCTCGGAGGTAACTTCACCACTGAGCTAAAAGGGTGTCTGGGGGCCATACTCTCGAGGTTTCTCCAGTCTCCTTTAGGCCAGTAAATCTGGTCTTTTATTTTTGTGAGTTAGAATTATGCTCTACATCCTTCTCCAGCTCTGTCCAGAACCCTCTGTTGTGATCCTGGTCAGAGCAGTCAGTGGTGGTAGCCGGGCACCATCTAGCTGTACTGGACTCAGTCCAGTGGAGGCCTTGGTAGCTGTGGACAATTAGTCCTTTGGACTAATCTTTTCCTTGTATCCTGTTCTCTTCATTCTCCCTTGCTCCCGAAGGGATGAGACCAGTGGAGTATCTTAGATGGCCGCTCATAGGCTTTTAAGACCGCAGACACTACACACCAAGGTACAATGTAGAGCATTGTCTTTATAAGATGTGTCATGCCAATTGAGCTAGATGTTCCCCGAGACCGTGGTCCCCAGAACCCTCCAGGGGCCTTTTTTTTTAAAAAAAAAGTAAGAAAGTAAGTACACCTGTGATTGACTTTAGTTCACCTTGGTTAACTCCCTACTCCAACACAACCATAGTCTCCTTAAAGACAATGACAATAATAAAATTAATACATAATTTCCAGGCACTGTGCTAAATTCTTTATAAAATTCTCATTTATCCTCAGAACAACACTGGGAGGTAGAATTATCTCATTTTACAGAAGAACAAAGAATAGAGATGTGGTTACTGGCCCTAGATCACAGGCCAGGAAGTAGAAGAGATGTTACCCGAACCCAACTCAGAGCCCACATCCTTAGCAACTATGGGGGGACCTGTGTGTGACAAGATTGAGTCTGTTCAAACAAGTGATGGGATGGATTCTCACCCATTCTCCCAATTTCCTCATCTGGGGTAACAATTTGGGCAAACAACTGGCCTTGATAAGGCATTCCACCTGAAGCTCCTTCACAGAGGAAGGTATCTGTGAATACCTTTGCAAGGGCTGAACAGACAACAATGGTTCAAACAAGTTAGTGTCAGAGTTTGGGTCCCAGGAACTAGGGTTAGATAAATGAATCCTCTCCCAAAGCACCCCAACCAGAAAGAGCAAAAGAAGCCTGTCAAAGAAATAGATGAAAGTTAATGAGGTGAAAACAATATTAGTTAGCAAGACAAAGGGCAAGTGATGGGAAACCCAACAGAACTTGAAGGAGTAGATAAACCCTCTTTAACAAGATATTAATTCAATTGCCCGGGGTCAAACTCATAGCCTTGGCTTTATTATCTACCCAATTAATCAGCCAAAAGCCACACCCAAAAGACAGTGCAAACAGTTAAACTGCTTTGCTGCTAATCTAAAGGTTGGTGATTCGAGTCCACCCAGAGGTGTCTTATAAGAAAGGCCTGGCAATCTGTTTCCAAAAAATCATCCACTGAAAATCCTGTGGAAAAATGGAAATACATCCCATGGTCATGGATTGGAAGACTTAATACAGTGAAAATGTCAATTCCACCTAAACTGATTTATAGATACAATGCAATCCTGATACAAATCCCAACAGCATTCTTTACTGAAATGGAAAAACTAACTACCAACTTCATATGGAAAGGAAAGAAACCCTGAATAGCCAAAGCAATACTGAAAAAAAGAACAAAGCAGGAGTTCTCACACTCCTGGATATCAAAACATACTATACAGCCACTGTAATCAAAACAGCCTGATATTGGTTCAGTGATAGACCAGTGGAATAGAATAGAGAACTCAGAATTAAACCTAGTCATCTATGGACAACTGATTTTTGACAAGGGGTCAAAGTCCATTCAGTGGGGCAGAAATAGTCTCTTTAGCAAATAGTGCTGGCAAAACTGGATATCTACCTGCAGAAAAATGAAACAGGACTCATACCTCATACCATACACAAAAGCTAACTCAAAATGGATCAAAGATCTAAATGTTAAACCTAAAACTACGTCACAAAAACTGTAACAACAAAAAGATAAAAAAAAAAAAAATCACAAAATGGGCAAGGACATGAATAGAACCTTCACCAAAGAGGACATCCAAGCAGCCAATAAACATAAGAAAAGATGTTCATGATCATTAGCCATTAGAGAGATGCAAATCAAAACTACAGTGAGATACCATCTTGTTGTTGTTAGGTGCTGTCAAGTCAGCTCCAACTCAAAGCAACCCCATGTACAATAGAACAAAACAATGCCTGGTCCTGTGCCATCCTCACAATTGTTGCTATGTTTGAACCCATTATTGCAGCCACAGTGTCAATCCATCTTGTTGAGGGTCTTCTTTTTCACTGATCCTCTACTTTACCAAGCATGATGTCCTTCTCCAGGGACTGGTCTCTCCTGATAACATGTCCAAAATACGTGAGATGAAGTCTTTCTATCCTTGCTTCTAAAGAGCATTCTGGCTGTACTTCTTCCAAGACAGATTTGTTCATTCTTCTGGCAGTCCATGATATATTCAGTATTCTTTGCCAACATCATAATTCAAAGGCATCAATTCTTCTTCGGTCTTCCTTATCCATTGTCCAGCTTTAGATACCATCTTACTCCAGCTAAAATGATACTGATAAAAAAAAAAAAAAGCAACAAATGTTGGTGGGATGTGGGGAGATTTGAACCCTTAGCTATTGCTGATAGGACTGTAAAATGATACAACCACCATGGAAAATGGTATGTTGCTTTCTCACAAAAAAAAACAACCTAGAAATAGAACTACCCTATGATCCAGCAATCCCACTCCTAGGTATATACCCTAGAGACCTAAAAATAATGACACAAACAGACATTCACACACCTATGTTCATTGCTGCTTTATTCACAATAGCAAATAAATGAAAACAACGTAAGTGTCCAATGGCGGATAAACAAACTGTGATACGTACATATAATGGAATCCTACGCAACCATAAAGAGCAATGATGAGTCTGCAAAACATATTATAACATAGATGGATCTGGAGGGCATAATGCTAAGTGAAATAAGTCAAGCATATAAGGACTAATAATGGATGATCCGTCTTTTATAAGAAGACAAGAATAGATAAATATAGAGAGACCAATGTTCATTGGGGGTTACCAGGGAAGGGGGGATACAATTTCTACAGTACAGACTAGTTATTTTTGGTGATGGGAAAAGTGGCAGTGAATGTGGATGTAGTGAGCACAGCACAACC